TCTAGGAAGCCACTGCTTCCACTTTGGCCCTGTCAAGTAGTAGCTACTTTTTCTGCCAAACTATTCGTACCAAAGCTAGCTCCCACCTTCTTTGTTACTCAATGCCCCTCCCAAACTATTCTATCTCGCCCATTCTTCACATTCAAGCTTCAGATTGTCAAATTATATTAATCATTCTTGCGTGCCGTCCAGTTGATTTTCCACTCCTAGTGAACCCAAAGGGTTTCCTAACTCACTGCGGTGGAGTCACATTGACTCATAGCATGCCCTCCTTGGGTCTCCAAGGCAGTATCACTATGGAAATAGATTGCCCAACCTTCCTTCCCAGGAATGGCCAGTAGGTTTGAACTACCAGCCTTCTGGTTAGTAGTCAAGCGCCTTAGGCACTACGCTATCAGAGCTCCTATAGTCATGATTACCCTTTCTCCCTTTTAGTCTTCTACTGAGGCACTGAAGCCCGCCTACTCGTTGATTTCTAGCCCCTTCCGCTCAGGCAGGAGTGTGTGGGGAATTCTGGGAAGCGTAGTCCCGAACGTGTGTGCAGTTACGTCCAGTTCCGCTCCGATCATGTGAGCTAACTGCCATGTTTTTCCTCGTGGTGGCCTTTCCTCCTGCGTCTTGAGACTTACGAAGTTCACGAGCTGGATCTGCGGTTGGGACCTATGGTGACCAGGACATCGATTTAGTGGAAAGAAGTCGCGGCGCAGACGTCGGTTTGAAAGGTGGCGGTTTCCTCCTCCTTTCGGAGACTTTTCCTTGTGAGACGATTAGCGCGTCCTCGAGTTAGGGGAGGGCGAGTTTGGTGCCTCGCATTGTTTGAGGATCTCCCGGGCTCTCAGCTTCCTAACCGCTTCCTTCGACCTTGCACCCGCGCTATCAGTTCTCGGTACCGCACCAGGCAAGTTAGTTCAGCTGTCTGTGTCCGGTGGCTTCTATAAAAAGGGGTATCGAATTAGTTTCATGAAGGAGCTCTGATGGCGCAGTGTCAAACCCTTGGCTGCTGATGGAAAGATAAGCAGCCCAGGCCCGCTTGCCACTCCTCAGGAGGAAAGACCTGTAAAGATTACAGACCAGAAAACAGTGTGAGCAGTTAGTTATGCTATTTCCTGTACGGTCGCTATGAGTCGGTATCAAGTCGACGGCAAGCCAGAGTAAATAGTTCCATAATAGAAGCGTTTGGAGAATTGAAAGAGACAGTGTAAATAAGAGTCTTAAAATAATTCCTGTCACATGATGAACGGTGACATCTCGTTGTTACCCATCAAAAACCCGGTGCCGCGGACAAGTTCATACCAACTGATAGCGACCTCCTGGTTGTTAGTTCTAGTGTTTAATTTCCTGAGAAGCGCCCAGTTCCCTCTTAATAGTTAGGAAACCGCGACCCGGATGGACGCATTGATGAGTGTTCCTTCGCAAACCCCTCTGTGATGAGACATGTTAAGCAAAACGCATTTAAAGGTTGGTGGAAAGACTTGGAAGTTGGCCAAAAAGTACATTAGCTTTTGTCCTTCCTTCTGCAGAGACAGTTCCAGGCCTTTGAAATGTTCTGAGCAATTGAGGCGCTTTGTTATTTTAAAATCTCCAGATTATAGTTGAGGAATTGTGCACATGAATGGGGGGAGGGGGTTAGCCAGGCAGGAAATTCCTTATTTCCCAGCTGATCTTAGAAAGGGCTCATGGTTCAAACAATTTGAACCATAAGTTTGAACAGTCATGGTTCAAACAGTTGAGTTAAAATTCAAATTTAAACTCACTGCCACTGAGGGGATTCCGACTCATAGTGATCTCCATTGAATTTCCGAGGTGGTAAATATGGAAGTAGGTTGCCCCATCTTCCTTCCACTGAGTGGCTGGTGGGTTTGAACCACCAGCCTTCAGGTTAGTACTCAAATGCCAGAGGCACTGTGCCACCAGAGCGCCTTTGAATTAAAATTAGCCAAAAGAATGTTTTCTATTATCTATTCTCTCTCTCTTCTTTTTTAATAACATCATTGTAAAAACTGTAATCAATGGCAGTGAATTGTAAATGAGGAAGTTGGTGTATTGTCATATGTTTTTATGTGCACTAAAAAACAAAAAAAAAAACCTCATTATGACTGTCTCACATTGGGCCCTCCCGTTTTTTCTTAAACCTAACGATCCCCTGGGTGAATGGAATGAACTCTGTGTGTGTCCGTCTCTTTGTTCTGTATTTTTTTTAATGTTTTAAACCTGGGGTGCAGTCAGAGCCCCTGCTGCACTAGCCCTGGCCCTTGTCTCTGAGACCTGCAGGCAGTGGGATGTTCTGGACCCCTTCTGACCTCTTTGCTTACGAAGGAGGGGGTTCCAGCTGGTCAGAGTGGGGAGAATGAACTGGTTTAGAGGGGCCAGTGAGGCAGTGATTGTAATGGACAGCCTCCTTTCTCTCTCCAGCCCCCCTCTCACAAAGGACCGCCGCGCGGTGGAGGCAGCGGAGGCAGCGACTCCTGGCCCACTGATAGAGCCCTCGTGAGTGTGACTTGGCTTTCTTCCTCTATAAGGATTTTCATGCATATTGTGGAGTGTGTGACAGATACTCTGGCATGGGTTAAGACTTACTGATAACTTCCATTCTAGGGGTTTTATAGAAATTAGCACTGCCAAAGAAAAATTAGAAGCAGACATCTTACTTGATTTTAAGGTTTTCTTACCCTTGAAACCAAATATTCAGTGTAAAGAAATTCCCAACCACATTTAATTTTGCCCTTGACTTTTCTTTTACCTGGAGTTGCTAATTCTTTCTTTCATATTCTGAAACCAGGCCTTCTGTGTTTGAGTTCCAGAAGGTGTGGCTGAAGGTGGGTGGAGGCTTGCGACCACCTTGTGACCTGATAACCATTTGTTCTCAGTACTAGGGAGGGCAGGGTTCAACCAGTTACCTGGAGATTGGCCAGTGGATGATCTTGGCCAGTGGTTGATCTTCTAGTCGCCTCCCTCCTCTTTATAAACCTCATTGTAACTGACTGACTTCAAATCATTTGCTTTTGCTGGAATCAAAATGGTCTCCATACGCTTATAGAATAAGTAGTCAGAAAAAACCTTTCGATTTCTTTGGATTATTTTTGGCACTGCATGATTCTGCCCCATGGCTCTGTAAAGTGGAACTGCTCTTTTTCCCTCTTTTTAAGATGAGTTATTTACTAGCCCGTCACCCAACTAATAGGAGGTGGAGCTAGGGTTGGAACCTCACCTCAGCAGTCTGAGTGCAGAGCCCAAGTCCATTATCTCTGTGATAGATTCTCCATGAACCACAGAGAGCTGGCTGGAATTGAATTGATTGTACTTTCAGAGCAAGACTAACACACTTAAACTTTGCTATTGGATTTTAAAAATCATTCTCAAGTATATTTCATGTGATTCCAAATAGTGATTTATATGCTCTTTGTTTATTTTGGAGAGGAGTCACCGCTGTTTTATTAAATGTCCCTAAGAGAGGTATACTTTTTGTCCTCCCCATTCTAACTCTGTGTCTTCCTTGGCGTGGAATCCAGGGATGAGTGGCACAAGTCATGCAGACTCTGGCAAACACCCTGAGGTCCTTATCTTCCTGCGTGGTGACCCAGGCTTACTGTTTCTTACAGAAGGGTCTGTGTGGCCATCACTGGTACCAGCAGCTGAGTGGCCAGTTTGAGTTCCTCAGTAGAGCAGCCTCCCTTCTTGGGGACAAAAGGCTTCCAGGGGAAGAGAATGAACTTGGAGCAGTACTCCATCAGCTACTGCAAGGTGGAGTGGTTAGGTGTCCTTTCAATATAACATGTCAGGAGGCCATTGAGGGCTTTGCCTCAATATTGGTGATCTCAATTCTTGTTTACTCAGCTAACATGATGTCTGTCAAAATTCACAACTTGGAAGTTACCATGTTACCTTTTGAGATCATAAACTTTGGGGAGATACATTTATTATTGGGCAATCTACTGTAAAGATCAGCTTCTCGTCCTACTTATTTATTCAGCCACGTGTAAATTTGGTATCAGCATGGTCTCAGGACCCACTCTTGTCAGTTTGGGGCTGTCATGACTCATGATCCTGTGAACGTGCACATGCAGGTCTGTATGTGGGCAAGTCCTTAACTGGACGGGTGTTGTCATCCTCGTGGCTGGGTCCCTAGCCAGGTTCAGTGGTAGTTTCATGTTTAACTTTTTGAGAAACTGCCAGACTGTTTTCCACAGTGGCTTCTAGAATCTTGGGTTGTTTTAAGAAAAACTAAAAACTGCTGTTTCATTTTTTTCAAGCATGTTATCTATTTTATTTTCATGTTTCAATTACTCGGATTAAAAAAATCCATAACCTTAGTTGAAAACATTCAGGGATGCTATAAGATTTGCTAGCATATTTCTTTTACACTTTTTATGTTGATAAAAAGGTCTTACGACTTTTCTGCTTAATGACACAGTCACTTGTTTTTACACCTTTTAGGAAATCATTGTCTGTGCCAATTTAAATGTAGTTGAGGTAACAGTTTACTAGGGAAGATAGGCCTCTTGAACAGATTTTTCATTTTTCTTCTTTTTTTTTTTTTAATGTGATTTGGGTGAAAGTTTACAGAGCAAATTCATTTTCCATACAGCAGTTCATACAACTTTTGTTACATGACATTGATTGCAATTCCCCACAATGTAACAGCTCTCTTCCCACTTCCTTCCTGTGGTTACCACTTCCCATGCACTCCCCTACCCCCCAACTCCCTTAATTATCTCTCTGTGTAAACACTGCCCTTTTGTTCTCCCACAATTGATCCCCCCCCACCAAAGGAGTATTTCTACCTGATGTAAATGTTCACTTCATATGACTGTCTGTTATTTGGCTGTAAGCCACAGGAGTGAGTTCAGTTCCAGGCTTGAAGAGTAACTAGGGGCTGTAGTCTCAGGGGTCTCACAAGACTTTATCAGACCAGCAAATCTGGTCTTTTTTTTTTATTATTATTTTGTGAACAGATTTTTTAGACAATACATGGACCTTTCTTAGGATTTATCATATCTTACCATGTTCCTTTGGTAGACATTAACTTTATAGGGATAATTGTATATGTGCTTGTCTGTAGCTGGAAAGAAATAAGGACCCTGGTAAGAGTTGTAAGAGTTTTCCTCCCTCCAGCAGTCCCATCAGTGGGGAATCCTGTTTTACAGATGACAGAATTGAGACAAACAATTAGTATCAGTTTGCCAAGGTGACAAAACTAGGGAGAAGACTTACCAGGATTTGCACCCACATAAATATTTAGCCCAGAGAGCACTCTTACTTGGTATATTATATCGTCTCAAAGTCTATTGTACAGAATCACACTTGCTACCTGGCAGGCCCCAAGGCAACACTGGCGGAGGGGCCTCTGTGTGTAGCTATGTAAGTATTCAGTGAACCTAGACTTACAGGGGTCAAGGGCATCTGGTGTCCAGGTCATGTTCGGGGCATCAGGCCATGTGCAGTTGCAGACAAAGGGACCTCTTTGCTACTTCACAGTGAATGTCTGTGAAGGTGAGTGACATCCCTGGCTACCTTTTTAAGTCTTTCTTCTTTCCTAGTTTGGCATTCCCAGGACCGTATCTCAGGACTGCACATCACCAGAATTTGGAAGAAAAATGAGCACCTTCACGGTGAGTGGGCCTTGTCTTTTTGCTCTTAAAATTTCTTCTCACTCCTCAGATTGGACATTCGGATTTCTCTTTCTTGTAAAGCCTCAAGGAGAACAGCAGACATTGGCGGACTTGTTGTTTGCCAGGTGTTTGCTTTGTGTATTTCAGGCTTACTTTAGATTTGTTTTTAGTTTTTCTATTATCTGTTTTTTCTTTTTCTTTTTCCCAATTAGTATGATTTTTCTTTCAAAAATAAGAGTGAAACAAGAAGTAGGAATGAGCAGTTCTCACACTTCTACTTTCTTACTCACAGATTGTTTTTTTTTTTTTCTTATTTTCCTCATGTATTTTTAGAAATCATTTGTATTCATTACACACATCTAATTTTAAATTGCCCATTTTTCCTTTGCGGTGTGAAACAGTCGTTTTTTTGTGGGTACATCATTTTCCAAGTGACTTTTGCATCTTTGTGTTTTTACTACTTCCCACTCTTAGACACTTAAATGGCTTACGGATTTCATTGTTTTAAATAATAATTTCTTTTGTTTTCAGTAAAGGCTTACACAGCAATTTCGGTTGTATTAAAAAATTCCTCTACAGATTGTTCAGTGAAATTGGTTACATTTTTCACCATCTGTGAACATTCTCAGTATTTTTCTTGTGGTGGTTCATTGTCATGAATGTAGTTTCCCTGCCCCCCTTACATTCTCTCCTTTATTTTAAAGTAATTGTTTTTCATTTGGTATCATATAAAAACTCGCTGCCATCGAGTTGATCCGACTCACAGCAACCCCTCTGTGGGTTTCCAAGGTGGTATCTCAGTGGAAATAGATTGCCCAGTCTTCCTTCCCAGGAGTGGCTGGTGGGTTTGAACTGCCAGCCTTCTGGTCAGCAGTCAAATGCCTTAGGCATTATGCCAGATTTTTTTTGTTTTTTTTTAAAGGCGCATAGTCCTCATAGGTAATATGTTGTCAGACAATGTGTTATTCAGCTAAAGGTGAACTTAGGGGCATTTATGTTGTGAGGTTTAATGCATATTTTACAGCAGTAGTCTCTGGGGGTCCTGGAGTCTCTACCTTTCCAGTAACTGGTTTTTCTTACACATTTCAGGTTATATTCCACATTTATCTTATAAGGGGCCATCTCTTGTGGCCCTGAACAGAAGGATCAGTGATGGTAGCCAGTACTGTCTATTTCTTCTGGTCTCAGGGTAGATGAAGTTGTGCTTCATGAAGACTATTAGTTCTGTAGACTAGTTTTTTCTCTGAGTCTTTGGTTTTCCTTCTTTCTCTTTTTCTTTGGATGAGTTAAGACCAATAGGCGTATCTTAGATGGGCAACACTTCCATTGTTTTAAATAACACTAGAGATGATTTTTATATAAAATAATTTTCCCTAAATCTCAACTTTGAAACACTTAATTTCTTCAGCTCATATACCACATGTGGAAAATACTTTCTCATGTGGTCCATTGGCTGTTTTGAAGATAGACTGTTCAAATAGGGCCCAGTGCAACAGAGCCTGTCTGCTGCTTCATGCCAGTATTGTTGCATGTTACCACACAGGATGACCTGTGTTCTGTATTGCCATGCCACAGTCATTCCTTATGTGTGTTTTATTTACTCACCTATTTGTTTCTTTCATCTTTTATTTTGTTTTCTCAAAGGAACACATAACATTAATTTGAAACATCCCAGGATAATACTGGATTTGCCAGGCACTTGGGTCCTATCACTGCATTACTCCTCGGAGCAGCTCAGTGAGGAGGTGCTGGGTTTCTTCTTCATTTAAAACATATGAAATGAGAGAAACTCACATTCCCACCAAGGGTGAGGGGAGATAGGTATTCTGGTCAATGAGAAAGACAAGGAGTAAGACAGTGCTGTACTTACAGGGACCTGCACACCATAGTGTGGGTGCCTGGAGTGCTGTGCTGAGTGATGATTTCCACAGGTGACACCGTTCCTCCCCTGGCTCCTCCTCACTGGACACCTCTTCTCTTCCCAGTGTCAACCTCCTCAAGTGCACTGAGGTACTCAGAACTCTGTACTCCAGACAAGTACAGTGATGAGCCTAAGTGTTGAAAAATATTTCAATTTCTTCATGGAGTGGGGGACATTACGTATGTTATTAGTGTTATTAGAAAAATTTAACAACTTGAGGTGAAAATATTGGCAATATGTACACCAGAAAAGGACATAAACTTTATTGTAGAACAATTACAGGGTCATAGTATACAGGAAAATATCAATAGGAATATAGGCAAAAGGCATGAAAAGACAGAAAGAAGAAATAGAGATGACCAATAAATACACAAAAAGATGATGGTTTTCATTTATAACTGAAAAAATGAGAACAATAAAAATGAATTCTTTATCAGATTACCAGATAGGTGTAAGTTTTTTAAACCTTTGCCAACTCATGTAGCATCAGAGATCTTACTCTCTCTTGAAAGATGAACGAAGGTGAAAGTAAATGCCGTTATATGACCATGCTATTAAATGTGTTTAATTTCTGCAGTTTTAATTTCCCTTTGTAATGTATCTTAAATGATCAGATAGAGAGTAACATCTACATAAAATGTGAATTGCAGTTTTTAGTACTGATAAATACAGGCCGTCAGTTCTGTGGTACAAAGGATGTGTGATACCAGCTACCTGGAATAAAGCCAAACTTCACAGGTTCAGGGCTTAATCCTCCACAGGATGCTCTTACTTCAGCACCTACTGGAAACTCAGCACCAACTTCACTTCACCAGCTAACTACAAATTCAGCAGTTCTCACTAGTCTCTCGAGTTTCATCATTCATTAAAATAGCCAACAGAACTCAAGATAGCCTATACTTAGAGCAGTAGTTCTGTTCTAGCAAAAAGTTCTAAATCAAACCCAGCCAAAGGGAGGGGGGGCATGGGGTGAGGTCAAGAGGTATCCCAGTCAGCAAGCTTCCCTTGTCCTGAAGGACAGTTCACACTCCTGGCACATTAGTGTGTAACAATATGAAGAATAGTGGCAGCCAGGAAAGCTCACCTGTGTTCAATGTCCAGAATATCATGGCTGATTGATTTAAGGCTACAAGATTGAACTGAAAATGATGCTACTCTCCTGTCTTGGAAGTTGGGCTAGTATCATGTGAGTCAAAGATCCAAACTTCTTATCACATGGAGGTCTTTCTGGTGTGGCCAGCCCTCACCCTGAGTTTTCATATTAGTCTAAACTTCCAGGAGTGGTTTTGGGACCATCAAGAATAACAAAGACACTCCAATAGCTGATGAAATTCCAAGGATTTAGAGGCTGCCTCCCAGAAACCAGGGACAAAGCCCAGCCAGATTCTTTGTTTCACACCTGGAAGACTCTGCAGCCATGAAATAGAATATATAGCCCTTGTGATGGTAATTAATTTAATATTGATCATGTTTTCTAAGCACTTACTCAGTGCCACACACTGTTAAGTGGTGTGTGTTGTAATTACATGTATACAGCCATGTGCTTTTTTACTGTGCTTTATTCAGTTGTGCTTCACAGAGGCTGTGTTGTTTTAAAAATTGATGTTTTGTAGCAAGTGCATCAAGTCTGTCAATGCCATTTTTCCAACAGCATGTACTCATTTTGTGTCTTATCTCGTTTGATAATTCTCAAAATATTTCCAACTTTTTCCTTATGCTGTTGCACACTTAATAGACTACAGTATAGTGTAAACATAAGGGAGCTCTATAATGGTTAAGGCATTTGGCTGCTAATCAGTGGTTTGAGCCCATCAGCCACTCTGTAAGAAAAATTGGCAGTCTGCTTCGGTAAAGATTTACGGCCTTGAAAAGCCAATAGGGGTCATTGTGAGGCAGAATTGACTCAATGGCAGTGAGTTTGGTTTTTTGGTTTTACAGTATAAACATAAATTTTACATGCACTGGGCAGCCAAAAAATTCGTGATTCGCTTTATTGTGATACTCGTTTTCTCAGAGGTATAAAACCCAACCTGCAATATCTCTGAGGAATCCCTATATGTTTCCTTGTCTTTGAAAGAAACCTGTACTGTATAAACCATTGAACTATTATAAAAAAAGAGGAACTAAGATAGACATGGGAACTTTTCCAAGGTCACTTGGCTAGTAAGGAACAGATCTTTGGAATATGCACTATGATAAGATAGCTACAATTCAATGCATTTAATGTTGGAATTCACAGATGTAGTGTGTGTCTTGAGAATTGAGAGGACACACTATGTACTTGTCTAGGACAGGATACCCAAAGCTTATTAGTTTGGCAAACATTAAAGACAAGTGCTACCAGAGTCAGTGTATGTGGTTGTAAGATGATGGGAGCTATTGGATTCTATTGAGAATAAATTGAACATCTTTTCAGAGGCAATTGGCAGTATATCAAAAAGTAAACCATGTGTGTCTTAGCATGCAGCAGTTGAGTTCTAGGGGTTTACTCTCTGAGGGCAACACTAAAAACACAAGGGCTCTCATTAATTGCCACATTGTGAGTGAAGCTAAGACAAATCCATGTGTGGCATTGGCAGGAAGGAGAAGGGCTGGGAAATAGACTCATAGACTCATGTTCTCAAAATGTGGAACAGCTTCCACCCATCCTCCTAAACTTTTCCAGTGGACAATTGTTGTAAGACTGGGTATACATGTACTTGATGTTGTAGGAAGCAGTGACATTGAAGAACGTGACTGTGGTCTTCACTGAGGAGGAGCTGGGACTGCTGGACCCTGCCCAGAAGAAGTTGTATCGAGATGTAATGGTTGAGATCTTCAGGAACCTGGTGTCATTGGGTGATGTGGTGTCTTTATCTCTTCAAATTTTAAATGTTTTGAATGGTCTTGGAATGATTGAGTTATGTCCCCCAAAAAATGTGTTGTAAATCCTAAATGTCTCTACATAGTTATAATCCCATCTAGAATGGGTTGTCTTTGTTACATTAATGAGACATGGTTAGTGCAGGGTTTATCTTGAGTCAATCTCTTGAGATATAAAAGAGATTAAATAAGCCAGCAGAGAGATGGAAGGAGATAGATGCCAAAACACATGGCTATGTCCAGGGAACCAGGAAGCACAAGCCAAAGAGACAAAGATCTTCCCCAGAGCCAACAGGGAGTGATAGACTTTCCCTCAAGCCAGTTCTCTGAATTCGAACTTCTAGCCTCCAAAACGGAGAGAAAATAAATAACTGTTAAAGCCATCTACTTGTGGCATTTCTCATAGCAGCCCTAGATAACAAAGATACCTACCAACAATTTTTTTTTGAAATAAAACAGAAAATGTTAAGAGTTCATTAGGAAGGAATAAGCATATTGCAGAATAAATTCTGGCCAACTTCATGCATGGCGTGTGAGTCAGTGGGAGGAGATTTAATGAAGTCAGACACTGAATTAGCATAGGTTAGTGTATGCTTTAGTCATGCATGTTTATGCATATGTGTCTAGGTCTTTAAATGTATGTATTCAAGTGTCATCTTAGAAAAAAATACTTGGAAAACACTGCTTCTGATTACTTCATGTATGTGCAATAAGAACATAAATTTCCACTAAATTTTACCAGTAGTGTGTTCATTTTAGCAAGCTTATATTTAATCATTATAGGTTGCCAACCCTTTAAACATGATATATGGCACTTCCAAACCAAAAGCAAACCCATTGCCATCAAATACAATTTCATGTACCCTGTAGGACCGAGTAGAACTGCCCCATAGGGTTTCCAAGGCTGTAATCTTTAAGGAAACAAAACCCACCCAATCCCAATGCCATCATCGATTCCGACTCACAGCGCCCCTAGAGGATGGAGTAGAACTGTCCCTTAGGTTTTCCAAGGCTGTAATCTTTAAGGAAACAAAACCCACCCAATCCCAATGCCATCATCGATTCCGACTCACAGCGCCCCTAGAGGATGGAGTAGAACTGTCCCTTAGGTTTTCCAAGGCTATAATCTTTATGGAAGCAGACAGCTACATCTTTCTCCCAGAGAGGGATCAGTGGGCTCAAACTGCCAAACTTTTGGATACCAGCTGAGCAGTTAACCACTTTTCTGCTAGGGCTTCTAAATGGCACTTAGGGGAAAAAGTCATTCAGTGAAAAAGACAGCAATCGAAAGAGAAGGGAATTCAGGTCAGAACCAAGCTACTGGGAATCCTTGTGGATTGTTATCTAATTACTTTCGTCTCTGCCTCCTCTGTTGCCAATCATCCTGATCCAAATTGCCAAACCTCTCCTGGATTCTTGAAATACTCTTTGTACTGATAGCTCCACTTGTGACCTTTCTTATTTTAATTCTTTTTGCCACATAGCCCCTGAAGGGATCTATGGGAAATGTAAGTCAAAATAAGTGATTCTTCTATACAAAACATTTGATGACTTCTTACATTTCTTTTCTTTTTTAATGATATTTCGCTGAGTTTTTGGTGAAAGTTTACACAGCTAGGGAGCTTCTCATTTGATAATTCACATACAAATTATTCTGTGACCTTAGTTACATTTACACAGTGTATCAGTTGTTTTGTGTTTGTTCCCTTTCCAGTACTCTGGTTTCCCTGTACCCTTATCTTCTCATCTTTGTTTTTATTTTAAGAAATTGTTGACCTTTTGTCCTCATACTAATAATTTTTAAGAAGGGCACCAATCTTAGGGGTAATATCCTTTATTCGGTGTGCCACTCTGTTATTTCCCTAAAAGGCAATCTCAGGATAGGTCAAATCTACATTAAAAGAGTGAATCAGGACTATAGTCTTTGGGTCCTGTGTTTTCTACTATTCTAGTTTGTCTGGATTTTTTTTTTTTTTAATTAGGATTTGGGTGAAGATTTACAGAGTAAATTCACTTTTCATACAGCAGTTCACATATACTTTGTCTCATGTCATTGACCAAAATTTACAATGCAGCAGCTCCCCTCCCACATCCTCCCCATAGTTACCTCCTCCCAGTGTCCATCCCTTCATACTCTTCTGCACCCTGAGCTATCTCCCTGTGCATAAGCAGCCCTTCCTTCTCCCATGATTGTTCTCTCCAGGGCGTGTGTCTACTTGAGGTAAATGTTTAACTCACATGCCTGTACTTTGTTTGGCTGGAAACCACAGTTGTGGGTTCAATTCCAGACCTGAAGGGCAACTAGGGGCCATAGTCTCAGTGGTTACACCAGGCTCCATTGGACCAGCAAACCTGGTCCCCACCTTCTTTTTTTTTTTTTGCCTCCAAACGATTTTGAGTTTTGTACCACATTGTTCTCCCTCTTTATTTTTTTTAAATAAGAATTAGAATTCTCCATATTTTCTCCTGTTCTGTCTGGGACTATCTATTGTGGCCCTGGTCAGAACAGTTAATGGTGGCTTTTGCCACGATCTCATTGTTCCAATCTCAAGGTAAATGAGGTTGTGGCTCTTGTAGACTTGTTTCTTCTCTACTTTTGGTTATTCTCTTACTGTTTAGTTCCTGGCAAGTTGAATCCTGTAGTTATGGATTACATGGCCACTTGCAATCTTTCTAATACTCTAGACACTACTCAGTTCACTAAGATGCAGATCATGATTTTTATGAACTGTGGTAAGCCAGTTGACTGAGTTGTCTTATGAGATCATGGTCCTAAGCCTTCAGACCCAGAAAACTAGTGTTGGAAGGTGTATGGTTATACCTGAGGACTAATTTATGTCTTCAGTAAATATATGTGCCTGCATCCACATAATTATATTTACACATACCTATAGATATGTCTCTGTTCTCAAACATATGTAACTCTTTCATTTGGTTGGCCAGATAGCTGTCTTCCTAATTTCTTGGCATAAACCAGTGAGCACTTTCAGCACTAAAGCCATTTATTGAAACATCTCGATGAGTATTCCATCAATTCCTGGAGCCCTGTTTTCCTCCAGTTCTGTTGGTACAGCTTGGATTTCTTCCTTCAGTATCATCAGTTCTTGATCATATGTTACCTCCTGAGATATTTAAATATTAATGTAGTGAATATATACGCTACAAAACGTATACCTTGGTGATTCATTTTTATTTTCAATATAATTTTTCTAACTATGTGATTTATTATTGAGAATTCTACACTAACAGAAATTTAATAGACATAGCAATAGGTTAATAATTTGTATCATATTAGAAATTTTCAAATTAAGGTTTGATTCTTAAATTGTACCTCATTTGATTTGATGTTGGGTAATGTGTATTATGGGAGCTCTGGTGGCACAGTGCCTAAGGCATTTGACTGCTAACCAGTAGGCTGGCAGTTCAAACCCACCAGACACTCCTCGGAAGGAATGTTAGGTAATCTACTTCTGTAGAGATACCACTCCAGAAACCCAAGAAGGGGTCGCTGTGAGTTGGATCCGAATCGATGGCAATGAGTTTAGAATGTATCTTATTATTGCTTAGTGAATTGGAACACAGTGCAGCTACTAGTGGTTGTGATGGCATGTAAACCAGAGTACATGATATGCAGTAGAAAACATCAATGGAACCTTCTCTATGTTCAGTAATGTCTCATTCCCTAACTAAGTATGAAACCCTTTTTTTTTTTTTTAATTGTGATTAGGTTGAATGTTTACAGAGCAAATTCACTTTCCATACAGCAGTTCACATACACTTTGTCTCATGGCATTGAGTATAATTCACTACGGTGCAATAGCTCCCCTCCCACTTCATTCTCATAGTTATCTCTTCCCTGTGTCTTTCCCTCCATGCAACTAAGTGTGAAATCTTCAAAGTTCTCAACAAATCTTCACCTGTCTATATCTGAATTCTCTTACAGGAGGCAAAAAGCCAATGCAGCTGGAGACTGTTCCACAAGCAGGACCGCACCAGAAACTTTCCAGCTCACATATCTGGAAACAGATTGCAAGTGACTTAATCAGTTATCAAGTTTGTATGAGAAATAGTTCTCAGTTCTACAAACAAGAAGATTCATCTTCTCTATTTGCCAAAGGACAATCTATTATTCCTATAGGAGAGAAAACTTACCAGTGTAATGAGTGTGCAGAGACCTCCAGTTATATCTCCAGTTTTGATCTTCAGCATCATTCACACTCAGGAGAGAAGTTTTATACATGTAATGAGTGTGGGAAAAGCTTCTGTTATGACTCAGGTCTTCATAATCATCAGACACTTCACATGGGAATGAACTACTCTACTCATGATGAATGTGGTAAGCTGTTTAGTCAGAGCTCAGATCTTCAAAGTCATCCAAATGTACGCACTGTACAGAAACCACAGAGATGTGAAGAATGTGGGAAACACTTCAGACATAGAGCAACATTTAAAGTTCATTGCAAAAGCCACACAGGAGTGAAACCTTGTAATTGTGAGGAATGGGAAAGGACTTTTATTTGTCTTTTGCATTTTCAAGAACATCAGAGAATCCATATTGGGGAGAAAACATTCACAAGTGATATATGTGGTAAGAACTTTCGACATAGAGCAGTACTTACTACTCACTGCATGATCCACACAGGAGAGAAACTTTACATATATGAGCAGTGTGGGATACGCTTCGCTCATAGCCCATATCTTTATACCCATCAGAGGGTTCAAACAGGACAAAAAACTTATGAATATGAGGAACATGGTAAGTGCTTGTGTTTCATTCAGCTTTTACAACTTCAGGCCCATCAGAGAGTTCACACTGCAGAGAAAACGTACAAATGCGAGGAGTATGGGCAAGGCTTTAACTGGAGATCAGGACTTCAGTTAGTGACCAATACTGGTGAGAAACCACATAAATGTGAAGTCTGTGGGAAGTGCTTCAGTAGGAAATCAAATCTTCGAAATCATCATAAAATCCACACAGGAGAGAAATCTTATAATTGTGAGGAGTGTGGGAAGGGCTTCAGGCAGGCTTCACATCTTTTGGCCCATCACAGAGTCCACAGTGGAGAAAAACCATTTAAATGTGAAGAGTGTGGTAAGGACTTCCAAAGTAGATCAAATCTTGCAACTCATCATGTAATCCACACAGGGAAGAAATCCTATAAGTGTGAGGAATGTGAGAAGAGCTTCAGGCAGGCTTCACATCTTTTGACCCATCAGAGAGTCCACACTGGAGAAAAAACATTCAAATGTGAAGAGTGTGGGAAGTACTTTGGTACTAGAGCAAATCTTCAAGTTCATTATAGAATCCACACAGGAGAGAAACCTTTTCATTGTGAAGAATGTGGAAAGGCCTTCAGGCAGTCTTCACATGTATTTTCCCATCAGAGAATCCACACTGGAAATAAACCCTTCACATGTGAAGTGTGTGGGAAGAGGTTTTGTCAGAGTTCACAACTTAAAAGCCATCAAAGAGTTCACAATAAAGAAGCCTTACAAATGTGAAGAGTATGGTAAGGGCTTCAAGTGGAATTTGAATCTTGACATGCATCAAAGGGTTCACACAGAGAAACCATTAACTCTGGGGAATGTGACAAGTACTTCAGTCAGGCCTCAAGTATTCGATATCATAAATGTGTCCACAGTGAAGATGAACTCTGCAAATGTGTGTGGTAAAGTCTTCAATCAAACTTCATAACTACGATCTCACCAGAGAGTTCACATAAAGGAGAAAGAAACTTTACTAGTGGGAGATCTGTTCTAAGAGCTTCGGTTGGAGATCAAATCTTACAAATCACAAAATCCATGCTGGCAATAAGTTTTCTCAATAGTAACATCACACAGTCCTTACAGGAAAGATTTCTACAAAATCAAAGTTTTGAAAACTTACATGCACTCTGAATTATTGTAATGATCAGGTGTTAGAAGACAAAACATCTGTTTTATTAGAGTCTGACTTTTGTCAAAGCAAATATGGGATAACCTTTTAATTTATGCAGTAAGGGCTTCAGTCAGAACTTTGAAATTCATGTGACACCACTTAAGAGATAGGCCTTGGGAAGAATGAAAAGGTGATCTGATCATTAACAAAAGTATAATGGTGGGCATACCAAAATTGATATCCACTAGATTGTAAGCTCCATGAGGGCTGGAACATTGCTGCTGAGTTTGTAGATATGCTTTGTGTTTTTTTGTTAAATAAATCAGAATGACACAAGACATAGTATTTGAAAACTTCAAATGTGAAAACCACTCCATACTGTCATCCGCAGTATTAATAGGGTAGTTGTTGTTGTTGTTATATGCTGTCGAGTCGGACTCGACTCATAGCGACCCCTCCTTGGGTTTTCGAGGTGGTATTACTATGGAAGTAGATTGCCCAACCTTCCTTCCAAGGATGGCTGGTGGGTTTGAACCGTCAGCCTTCTGATTAGCAGTCAAGTGCCATAGGCACTACACCACCAGAACTCCTAGAAAGAGACGGCCCGGCTACCTGGCAGGGAGCGGCTAGTGGGTTTGAACCAGGTGACTGCCTTAGGCCAGGTGCTGTGATGCAGTAGTCACGCACTTGGCTTCTAAACAAAAGGTTGCTAGTTTGAATCCACCAGTGGCTCCACATCACAAAAGCCCTGATGATCTGCCACCTGTAAACATTATGGCCGAGGAAATCCTATGGGGCAGTTGTACATTGTCCTGTAGGGTCACTATGAGTTGGAAAAACACATTGCAGTTGGCTTCTCTGTAGCCTCTGTTTTCAAGTTGGGTCTTCCTTATTTGGTGCTTTGTGTACTCTTCAATCAATTTTTATACAGGATATATTGAAATATCTTGTAGTTTTACTGGCAATCTACACAAAAAAAACCTTAAAAACAAGTGCATGTGTATTAAATAATTTAACGAGTGTTGAATGGTGTTAAGTCACGGCTTTTCCATAACATTGAAAGTTAAAGAAATAGTTACCTGTAAAACTAATATGTCAGACTTCCTAACTTTTGGAAGAAGAGAGATGATCACCATCATCAGCACTAAGGCTGATTTGCATGAGATGGCACTCAGACTTACCTGTACTCTCCAACTTTAAAAAAAAAAAAAAAACATCCTGACACCAGTTATCCTTTGCACAGAACACGCTGCTCCTCAGAGGTTCATCATTTATTGCAGTTGCCACATAGAACTCAGAACAATCTCATAACTATGGTGGTGTTAGGGAAGTAACAGGTTGCCAGGATCAGGGTAAATGAAAGTAACAGAACAACTCAAGATACAGTGTTTGAATCAAGACAGCTGCTTCTCAGCTGTTGTCATCATGTCCCTACTCTTGGCATGCCCTGTGCCCTGTTTGGACAGTTGTTAGGAAGCTCATTAGCTTCACCAACAAGTGCCTGAAGGAATACCACTGAGCCAGCAAGCCTTGTGCATGGAGGTGCTTGGCTCTTTTTTTTCCTGATGTAGGATGCCCACTGAAACAGCTTCACGCTATGTGCCAGGAAGCCCACCAGCCATCTTGAGCCCATTTCCTGGTTCTACTGCTTCTGTTTCTCCGCTCTCTGCCATGATGATGCTGATTCTCACCATTTTGTAACATTTGCAGTGTGAAAACCCTGTGTCTCCTGGGCCTAGGAGGTTCTTTGGGCAGGGTCCCTGGGTTCAAAGGATGCACTCTGTTCATGACTCATCTTGGTGGTAGTTTCTTCCCAATCCTTGGGATTGGCTTCCTTTAATCCTTAAGGAAAGCAAATCTGAACAACCCCTACAAGGGTTTCATTCACCTAATTTGCATGATCCCATGCCAAAAGGGTCCTGTGCATCACCAAAACTCCATTCTACTTGGTAGGCCACAAACACCGTATTTTCATAATCCCACTCAAAACAATTTGTGGGAGTTACAAGACCATGACTGTTAAGTGATGGTAGAGCATAACTAAAAGAGACAAAAACTAATTCACTGCACTTCATTAGAGAGCTCTGGTAGCATAGTGCCTAAGGCACTTGACTGTTAACCAGAAGGCTGGAGGTTCAAACCCACCAGCCACTCCTTGGAAGGAAGATGGGGCAATCTACTTCTGTAATGATACTGCCTTGGAAACCCAAGGAGGGGTCGCTATGCATTGGGGCCGACTCCACGGCACATAACAACAGCACTTCATTAACAATGACTGTTTTTGTTATTCTCTGCTTATTCCTCCAGATTTCATATGATTTTCTTAGAAGTACTGTAGCATTTTTTTTTTTTTTAAGTTCTGAGGTGAGGACCATGCCATATTTTAAAAAGATTAGTATGGTCAAATATTCTATCCCTTTTTCTTTCATACCATGATAAAAATACCAAAAATAAACACACTTTTGAGATTTTGGTAATTTTATCAAATGTGTTCATTATTGGCATAGGACTTCTGTGCCTTTATATGCAGTGATGCATTTTTTTTTTTTAAAGGAGTGTATATAGAGATATATAATGGATTTCTCTTTGATCTGGAAATCAAAAACAAAAAGCAGCTACCTCATTAATGTTACGGATTTTTTCCATGAAAAAAGTTCATATATATTAATTTGAATTTTCATACATTATAACTTGTTCTAGCCTTCTACTTAGCAGTCATGTGCCTTAGGCACTACGCTACCAGAGCTCCTATATAATAACTTGGAGCCATTAAAATGATAACAGACATAACTAGGATAAGAACATCCATTTTGGAAAACCAGAAATTGTACCATTTATACTATAATCAAACTCGTAACTTTGTGTATGCATGTGTGTGCAAATATAAGGTAACTTTTAAGGGTATGCTCACCCTTAGTGATTTTCTTTTTAAATGGAGCTTTTTTAAATTTTATTTTTACATTTTAAAATTACATGAAATATGTTTTGATTGTTCAGTAAATATCAATATTCCCAATTGTATACCATAAAATTTGTTAAAGTACTAGTATTAATACTTCATTTTAGAATTCATAAAATAATTTGTTATCAGTGCCATATAAAATCATCATAAGTAGAACATCAAATCCGTTTTTAAAGGCCATGAATCTGCTGGTTGTTAACAATGAGAGGGAAATCTCTGTATAAGAGCAAAGTGGGTGTATATGTATTTTGAGGTTAAAAAAAAAATGATGTGTCCCTGAGGAAAAGATGTGTATAGGGAGGAATTGTATCATGACAGTAGTGGACCCTATGAGTAGAAATAGTAAGGACAAAGAGTAGGTTTGGATGCTGTTCCATACTCTTGTATAATATTTTAAGTGGATCAGTGCTCTGCTTTGGAACACTGGGTTCTTTACAGTTCTCCAGGAACTCTGGTGGCATAATGCCTAAGGCATTTGACTTAATCAGAAAACTGGAGGTTCGAACCCACTAGCCACTGCTTGAAAGGAAGATTGGGCAATCTACTCCTGTAGTGATACTGCCTTGGAAACCACGTTGCTATGAGTCGGATTCAACTCAATGGCAGTGGGTTTGTTTGTTTTTTTGTTTGTTTGTTTGTTTTAGTTATTGGCTGCCTATTGCCATCATAATAATAATAATAAAAAAAAAAAACACCTCAAGTGGCTGTATTTAAAGAACAAAAATTTATTTGCTCACAGTTTTGGAGGAAAAAGTCCAAGATGTGGCTTTAATAACTCAGTAATGATTAGGTTTAGGGATCACTCTATACTTGTATAAAATCTCATTAACAAATGATCACATTTACAGGAACAGTGGGTAGGATTCCAGCACATATTGGGGGGAAGGTTAAATAGGAATACTAACATGTATATGTAGGAGGGAGACTGGTGTCCATAGTTGATTTTCTGGACTATAACAATATTGTACATACTTAGTAATTTCTATGGTATAATTAAAAAGAGGAATTTTAAAAAAAGACTGAAGCAGTATCGTTAGAGAGTGTTACACTTGGTCTTCAATATAGAGTAGCTAAGTCAAATGGAAGAAATTCTAAGTAAAGAACCAATGATTTTAAAGGGCAGCTTCAGACGGAAAGTGAACTATTATGATGGTATTTGCACAGACCCGGAGTCAGAAAACTAAAAGTGAAGAACATGCTCTGCATAGCTTAAGCTGAAAGAACTGAAGAAAAAAATAACCATGAAGTTGCAATATTGAAGGTTATAGGGGCAAAATAATGAATGATGCATGAAGCATCAAAAGAAGATGCAAAGGATACATAGAGTCATAGTATCAAAATAATTGGTCAACATTCAACCATTTTCTGGGTTAGCATATGATCCGATACCATGGTAACGAAGAATCCAAGCTGCACTGAAGGAATTGGCAAAATAATAATAATAAGGCTGCAGGAATTGGTGGAATACCATTTGAGATGTTTCAGAAAACTGACTCATGATGGAAGTGCTCATTCATGTGTGTAAAGAAATTTAAAACATGGCTATCTGGCTAACTGACTTGAAAAGATCCACACCTGTACCCATAAAAAAAAAAAAAAAAAGGTTATCCAACAGAAGCAGAAATTATGGAACAGTATCATATCACACACAAGTAAAATTTTGGTGAAAATAATTTAAAAAATGGTTGTAGTGGTACTTTCACAGGAAATTTGCAGAAATTTAAGCTGGTTTGAGAAGAGGATGTGGAATGAGGAACATCATTGGTGAAGACAGATGGCTCTTGGCTGAAAGCAGAAAATAACAAAAAGATGCTTACTGGTGTTTTATTGACT